ATTCTATTATAAACAAATATTCTAAAAAAATATACAAGAATTTTTTGACGATTTTTGGCGAATTTTTTTAAAGAAAAGTATAAAACATATTAATTCTAAATTTTGCATGTTTATTAAATAATATTTCAAATATATCCTGAATTTTTTTCAAACAAAAATATTTATTCGTTTCGGAGTTATAGTAGACCAACCAGGATGACCAAAAAAAAAATTGTTGTTTGTGAAAAAAATCCAAAAAATTCTTATTCTGTATGAGTGTGACTATCGTGTGAACTAGAATTAAATCGATATTTGCAAAATTCAAATTTTGCGACTTATAAAACTAATCAATTTTTTAGTGAAAAATGAAATTTTTTTTTAGGCGCTGCCATTTTTTTATTTTTCAATATTTTTTTTTTATTCTCGTTCACGCGATAACCACACTCATACAGATTAAGAATCTTTTCGCTTTTTTTTATTTCAGATGACTACAACGGCTGGAATCATGTTCGCCACGAAAAACAATTTTTTTTTTAAATACCCTGTTTGGACTACTATATCTCCGAAACAAATATTTTTGTTTGAAAAAAATTCATGATATACTTGAAATGTTATTTAATAATCGTGCAAAGTTTAGAATTAATATGTTTTATACTTTAAAAAAGATTCCCCAAAATCGCCTTATTTTCAGAGTGTCAAACTAGAAAGACCTTTTAATTGTGCGGGTTTTGTTTATCCTTCTCTATATGTAATTTCGGTAACCGCGTAATTAGAATAGAAATCGAAGGATAAATATTATTGCAATAAAGTGATGCGACCATCCCAAGTTTCGGGCTACTAGGGAAACGAGCACTGATAGGGCCCAGCGCGCTCGCATGCTAAACGATCGAGGATATAGCGTGCCATTCCGACTGAAAGTTTTGCAACGCTATTACGGGCGCTTCGGAACGAATAAGTTTACGCTCGCAGGTCGCAGGATTTCAATTTCGCGTCGAAAACTTATTGGTACACTATCGCCGTATTCTCCGCCCTCGCTCGTAACGAACTGCATTGAGCCAAAAGTTGACTACGTATTACACGCGATGAATAATCATGATAACAAACATGAAATAATATTTAGACAGAAAAAGAGAGCGCGAGAAGGGAAAATCTTTTCTAACGATTCATATATTTTGACGACTTTCTTTCATTATTAAAGAAAAAGCAAATTATCAATATAATTCAACTCGAAATGCCTTCTTTTACAATAATGCACTCTTAAATATCCTATACATTTTTTTATTAATATTTATTTTATATCTTGATAACTTTTTGAAAATCTTTGACTAAAATTTATATATGAGAGAATTCTACGAAAATTAAAGTACGTTTTTATATTTCAATATTCTCTGCAAAGCTAAAATGCAATTTTTCTGTATGCATATTCTGCAAAACAAAAAAAAAAAAAAACATTTTCCTCTAAATTATATTTGCTTACATTATGTTTAATATTAATTTTTCATCAAATTTTTTCTACAAGAACACAAAAAATATATAAATTTTCCTTTTACTAATTTTTATTTTTCCTATATATCTTTCAGAGAATTACTGTTTGTAGAATAAAAAGGGATATCCGGGAGCTCTCATTCAAAATATTGACCTTTTCAACAGTCACGAGTAAGCACACTCAGTCCGATGTCGTATATGAGAGGGATTTAACGATCGAAACATATAATAAAAAGAAGGCATGCAAACGACTTATTTTTATGATCCGTGGTTTCACTGATGCATACAAGCGCATATTTCTTTCATTCACTGCAGTATCTAGTTTTTAAAAGCTTTTTTTACGTGAAAATATCCATCGTACACTAGGTATTACGAAAGGATTGGTAAACAGTAAATCCAGATCAAGTCGATTATTTATTGTAAATCGATTAAAAAATTATAGAAATATATTATAATCATCGAAAAATTTATTGCATATAATTATCTATTTGCAATTTGCTAAATTTTTATAATAAATTATTTATTTTATTGATGAGAGAGAAAGAGATAGAGAGAAATATCTCATTTATTATATAATTCATTTATAGTTACTAAAAAACTTTAATATATTAACAAAGAGTGAAAAGCGTGAAAGAAACCGTCGCTAAATCCTCGCAATCGAATGTGTCGTAAAAATATCCTGACCTCAGCAAGCTTATCAAAAAGCGGCTATATAGGCGCTATAATGCGACCCAAGTTCTTCTTCCTTCTCGACTTATCTCCGCGAAGAGGATTTTCCAATCCTACTTGCCATGATCTCACATCGCCGCGTTCGTAGCGCGTTGATAAGGAATCGGAGACGGAGACTGACTCTGCGAAGGCTCGATATACCTTCGCGAAAGGTATCAACCGAGAGAAGGGGAGAGGGGAGGGGGGCTTCATTAAACTGGTCGAGCGATCGAGGAGCGAGGACGATGACGTAATCGCGAGATAAAATCCTCGCTACAGAGATCCTACGATGCGTACATCCTAGAAAAGGTAGACTAGGAACCGCGATCTCGACAGAGGATGGAGATCGTTGCTATCGGGAATTTCGCAATTTCCGGCTGAATCCGACAATTTCCTCTCGGCGACGCGTTCGTCGCACGCGGCGTGGAGCTTTTCGCACGATCGACCGAACAGTTGGTCTAATTTACGTTACGATCGCGAACTAGAATTGAAGAGCCAAATTCCGAAGACGGAACGAATCAGGGGAAAGCACCCGAGGATCGGAGAAATGTTATTGACTGTAGGATTGCCGATTTGCCTCGATAACCATCGCACTTTTCTCGATTTATTTTTCGCTTCAAGGATTTCTTTTGGATTTATATGAGAAAAATTAGGAATTAATTAATACATATAATAATCAGTGTAAAACAATATGTACATATAATAAAAATATATTTTAAAACTTATTATAAAAAATAATAAGAAATAAAATAATTATTAATTACAATACACAGATAAAATAATTATTAATTAAATCTATATCAATCAAATTTAAATTTTATAAGAACGAGACATTTTTTGTTTTCTTACTGATATTTGCGCGAATTAAATACATTTATGCGTAATTGCTACAAGCGAGATTGTTATCATGGAAACGAGGGATTAATATTGTCCGACGAACGAAAGACACGAATGCCGATATCTTATGATTGAAAAATTAATTGGATTTTTTTGAAATAATTTTCGCGGGATTATCGAGAATCTTATGCATTCGTGATATAATGCGGATTCGATTGACTTAACGACCGTGCCGATAAATCAAGCAAGACTTTGAGCCCCGAGTGCGTCGCTGAGCCAAACTTGATAATACTGGGCACCTTGCGAGGATCAATAAATCGTGAAATTTATGCTGATCCCCTTCAACCCTTTCCCTCTTCAGCATGGAAACTCTCTCGGCCAGATATGTAGAACTATGGAAGGCTCGAGTTAAACATTAGGGGTTGTAAACAGAATTCGCCAGAATTCCGTACCGCCATTTCGGCAAGCTCGTAATAAACGATCTTTCGCAATATCGGTTATTCTTATGCAAAACACCCGCCATTGTCCCATTACAGCATCGCGTTACGCTCTTTTACATAAATTATAAAACAGAATCATTCCATCTCAAAGCGAATTGCTTGTCAAATGTGATGTTAATATATATTTATATAATATGATATAATATAATATATATGAGATATATATATGTATACGCGTATATACAAATATGCAATTTCCATACCTCTCACTATAAATTCCATGCATTTCTGCGATGCTTCTTCACGAATTTGAAATGAGCAGAATGCGTCATGAAAAATTAATCTTAACTAAATTTTTTTGCATTATTTCCAATTTTATATATATTATATAAAAATAAATAATTATAAGAAGTATTATATATATTATATTATATTTTTTAATTATCACATATATATCTCTCCAATATATGTGTAACATTTTTCCGCGAGAATTTTAAAACCTCTGTTAATGAAACCTCGTTTATTTTCAACTTTCATAAATGATGATTGAATGATGATTGAGCATCGATTAAAATCACGCAAAACAAAGACATAATTAATTAAATATTCTTGTAGTCTCTTTCTTCATATTATTATATCCTATATACAATACCATTCTATTTACAAAAAATCAGCAAATATATAATTGTTCGCATATATATATGTATATATATTGTTCCAAGAAACCTTAATTTTATCAACCCGGATAAAAATCTTGTCGTCCGTTTTAGTGAATCGCGGGAAACAAATATTTTCGATCTCAAGAATTTATTGTGCCTCAAGCTTATCGAAGAAAATATTCCTTTCATTGCTCGCTTCTCTATTCATACCGAAAGTTAAAATCAACTAAAAGCAATCCTTCAAACTTTTCTTCTTTCCTCTCCTTCATTGTTTCCTTGTTCGATACAAATTTTCTCTCTATCCTGGCAATTGTTTCATTTTAATATTCCCTGTGATTTCTTTCATTCTTTATTATGTTCTTATTTGATTAACTTAATTTTTAAGCGACATTTTATAAATTACATACAATTATTTTCCATTAACGACTGATTACTATTCAAACTGTTAATTATAAAAGTTTCTATAGATCTCACATTTGTTTTAATATTCCAAACAATCAATGTAAAACGTTTTACATTGATCTCAAGGCAATTAAGAAATACTTCAAAGTTGATATTATCATTTAAACGGAAAATAATTATTCCACGATTAATTAATATCAGTAAAATTGTTATCTCTTAACCCATTTTCTTTCTATTTTATATGTTGGATAAAAAATCTTGCTAACTTCCCAATTTCTAAACCGACCCTTCGTTCTCTTTTGTATTCTTTCATTTCTTGTGTGCAGCCTAAATAATTTTACATCAGTACGACGAGTGTGACCGTCAATTTTTTCATTTCTTCGGCAACGCTCGGAACTAATATATTACACGGGATTAAGATTTAGCGAAAATTCATAACTTCATCCGATACTCCGATAAGTAGCGATCGGAATTAATACTACTCACTCACCTTTATCTTCCGTTGCGATTCGTCAAGGGCATGTCGTCGAGAGCCCCCTAACTTCCGTCACAGCACGACTAGCAGTCCGCCACTCTCGATCCGGTCTTTCCTCGGCGATTATGCGTGCCGAGAAGAGGGTAATATCGTACCACCCCCCTCCCTCCCTCTCGGATGATGCGCGACTGATGATGTTACACCTGTACTTATTCGTTCATCGCGACCTTCTCTCTTTCTCTCTCTTTTTTTTTCTCTCTATTTTCACTCGCTCATTATCGCGCGTTACGTTAAAACCGGAATCGGCTTTCTCCCTGATCGAATGGACCGTCCTATCAAATGTACATATCTGTTGCCATCTTAGATTTTGCGTCCCGCAGGATGTCCAGACGTGAACGGTTCTCGGGACCGACCGGCACCGACTGAAACTCCTGTCAAACGGCAACCCGGAGGACGACCATCGTGCTCCTGCGCCCGCGATCATGGATGAACGACGCGACATTGGGCGTCCTCTGGTATTGAAATTTCAAAAAACGAACCACAGGAGAGACTGATAACGCAGAATTCTCGTGCCGATATAATTTAGTGTTCTATCAACATCGAATAACTCTTGTTGATATTTAATCAATTGCCCTTTATTTTATATCGTAGTATTGGCTGTGATGTACAATTGTAATTTAATTAACTTTAAATAATTACAATTAACCGACATTGAATTAATTTTACAAATATTAATGCCACATTCATTAAATTTTTAATATATCATCTATCATTATTATTATCAATAATTTCAATTTGTTATATCTCTATTGCTTTTTATATTTATCAAGAAATGTATTTATCTCAAATAAAACTCAAAATTTTTTGTAACATTTATTTAAAAAATAATTAAATTGTATCTATATGCATATATATATACAGCGCAATAATGTAAATTGGATTTACCAGAAATTCCAGAATTCGATATTTCCTCAAAATTGTTTGGCCGAAAGATTTCTATTTTACTAGCTACTGATACAATTACTTAAAAGCTTATCGATAAAGTAAATGTTAAAAACAAGAGTATGCTCGCAAGTTAATAAATGGCAGTTGATAAATTGGGTAAATTAAATTATATTAAATGATAGGAAAATTGGAAAATATTGATAAAAGTTAATATTTGAGAAAAATCATATATCAACAGCAAATATCTAAAGCAAATGTTGCACAAATAAATTTTATACATTACTAATTTATCGACAACAAATAACGATAAGATAGCTAATTGAAAACAAATTTATGATATTTAGAGCCATTGTTGTAACATTATTGTAACATTTAGTAATATATAAAGTTATAAAATTAGCAATTTATAAAAAAAAGATAATTAAAAAAAAATTGTAATTTATAAAAAAGATTTGAGAAAAAATGATCAATATTGTTAATATTTCATAAAGAGTCATGCAATTATATGTAATTTAATTAATATGATTATTTTTGCCTCTCATATATTTATATATAATTAAATTAAATTATTTTATTTTATATTAATTGTATATTAAACTTTATTTCATTTTATTTTATATTAAATTTAATTAAATTTAATAATTTGAATTTATATTTAATTTAACAGTTATATTTGTTCTTAAATACTTATCTTGTTTTTATATTTATTAAGGAGAGAAAATATGCGTTAATGAAAATTTTCAAGAGATTATTCTATACATACAGCGATCGAGTTTAATAAAAATGATACGACGCATTCGTAGCTAGAATCCACAATTAAAATGCAATAAATATTAAAACCTGATAACGAAAGATTGATTTCGTTACAATACATGAATACATTTGCGCTGTAACATCATGTTTAAATATAAATGCAATAATTATTCTGGAAAATTGAAAAAAATATTTTTTATAACGCACTATAAAGTTCTTATTTTATTTGTTTCTACATTATTATGTCATATCTGGGAGAATCACAGAGAAAGAGAGAGGTATATAAAATAATTCGCAATTAATTCTTCAAAGCTCAAATTCGGGAAAGGACTTGAATCAACGAAATCTTTAATCATCGTTCATTGAGAGAAATATTTGCAAGATAATAATCGCGACAAAATATTCATTAATTCTCGATATCGAGGGGCTCACTTTCGTCCTTTCGTCGGCAGGATCCTCGCAAAATAAGGGATACTGAGAGAACGCACTGTCCTCCGGCGAACGCGAACTCATAATTCATGATTCGTTACGTCTCTATATCTACAGGGTAACTCGGCACAGCTTCGGGCCATTATACGTATTAATATTTTCGCGAAGAGAGCCAACCCTTTTTCTCAAATATTTAGACGTAGATGCTATCGAGACATGTTTGCTAATTCTACTCACCGCGGATATTTAGATATCCGGATGTTCTTTCCGGGAAATGTTTGCTCAATCCCACGATGCTCCCCCCCTTCCCTCCCACCTCAACTCTTCTTTGGAATAATAACCTCAGCAATAAATGCTTTACTTTGTGTTATCTTACCTTCTTCCCCTTTCCTCGACGATGATTTAATAATGATGGAGCAGGGACTGACTTGCCACGTTCACTTGAAGACGCCGAACGCAAAATATGCAAAACTCGCGGAGCCATTTTATTCGAAACTCGAACGCACGACTGACAATTACACGACACACTCGAACGATTCGACGACTCCATCGCGATTCAGGTTCAGACACTCTCGGCACTTGTTTACATACGCGAGACGTTTTTTTGGCGCGCACGTTTATTCCGAAACACAACACGACGCGGTAAAAAGCTAACATACATGTATATATGTAGCTACGTTCAGTGATGAGCGACACGAACTTGGATGATAATCACCGAGCGACTTCACACGCTTCGATACTTTGACGTTTCTTACGATCCACGTGATACGCTCGGACGAGCGGACAATTGATTACGATCGTAGCCCGATATGTAATTCGATACTTAACTGTGTCCGATATATACTCGCATGTCAGATTTACAAAACGCCGGACACAGACACGAACTCGTTCCATTTGCCCGCGATGTACACGATATATGTAACAGAGAACAATAATTGATACTATGAAAGGCGACTCACTTGCGATTTACGCGATATAAACTTCACTTCGATTTTTAATCATCGCAACTCAACGAATCAGCTATCAAAAGTTAATAAATCTAATACATTTTGAGATATTCATGAATTTGACATTGCGCAAAAAACATTCTCTTAGCCTTTAAAATATAAAATTAATAATTAATTTATGAGCTGAGGTAAAGCCCGTATCTACGCACTGAAGGGCTCCGCCATCCAATATAAATATTATATATAGATAGAGCTTTATCTATCTTACTATCTTTAGAGCTTTATCTATCTGCCAAGATAATAAGATACTTTCCTCCCTTGCGCATGTGCAATCGCGCATTCCTCCCGACGGCCGAGAAAATAACCTATTACTAACGAGAAAATAACCTCATAAAAATACAATATATTTAATTTCTTGCACTTGTTAATTCTTAAATTTCTTAAAATTTTAATGCAGATTCCAAGTCCTTATAAACGATGTGCGTCCGCCGCGAAAAACGTACGAATGCGCATGCGCAAGGGAGGAAAATCTATTTATCTTATCAGACGCGGCTCTAAGACAAAAATGATACAAAGCTCTATCTATATATAATATATCTATGGATTTAACCCATGTCTGAGAGATGAATCTTTATTTTAAGTATAATAATTCACCCTTCAGCATATGTAGTGGAGGCTCCACCCCTCTCTCACTGACATGTATAAGTGGTTGACATATTATTTTCGTGTAAAACTGTTCACTCCGAATAATGTTTCACTTCTAAAAAATGGGTTGGGATAGGTTAGTTTTCTTCGGAGTGGGGGTGCAGAAGGCTCCGCCCCTCCCCTACTCACGCGTTCCATTTATTACATATGAATATATAAATGAATGTGCTAAGTTACGCTTTATTAAATGTACATGATATCTGAAACTTACATAACTCGTGGAAATTTTTTTGTTAATAACTTTTTAATAAAAAATGAACGACGCTTAAAACCTTTTGGAGGATACTCAGGACAGTGACCTTGACAACATATGTCAAAGTCATCGGGGCTGTGTCCGTTAATATGCACTTTTACCATTTCTTTCTCCTGATTGGTCAATTTTCAATATTTAATCTTTAATCTCAATTCTCAATGCATAGTCTGATACAGGCTTAACACGATTGGCTAGAAAAAAACTTTCCCGATTTTGTAAACTCCCTATTTAAGAGCTAATTATATACATTTATATCTTCTTGCTGGGAAACATCCATAAAGCCATTGTACGTAAAAAAATTTTAGTCGTAACCGTAAGGCCATAAATAAATCGACCAATCACAGTCAAACATTTTTATTACGTTCTTAGAATACTTGATTGTGATTGGTCAATTTGCTTACGGCCTTAGGATTACGACCAAAACTTTCTTACGCGTAATGACCTTAAGCCCGTATCAGACAACGTATTGCAGATTGAAGATTAAAGATTAAAGATTGAATTTGACATCGAATAAAAAGAGCTAAAATTCGTTTTTTTAATTGGTTTAATCTAAATTTTCAATCTTTAACCTTAATTTTCAATACATAATCTACGACGGACTTCGAGCACAGTTATTACGAAAAATTATTACAAACTCTTTGATCTACTAAAGTGCTAGTAGATGTTTGACCAATTAGAACAAAGAAATCTTCGCGCCGATTGGTCAATAAAAAAACCTAGCGCGAATTAATAAAAAGATGGCGGACCAATCACAAGACACCGTCTTAGAGTAATATTACATTTGTCGTACGACAAATGTTTTTAAGCGCATTGATTAGCTAATTTCTAGAGACTCAAGAAATTTTCTATCTTGCAGTCAATCAGTATGCTTAAAAAATTTGTCATACGACAAATGTAATCCTTACGATGCGACTATAAAACTAATAAGAAGATTTCCAATTAAAAAAGCGTGAGACATCTCTTTACTCTGGTTTATGGTGTAAATGTAAAAAAAAAATAACAAAGTTATTGTTTAAAAATGTCGAGCCTTTTCCGTTATCAGACTCTAATTAGAGCATTCTATAGTCTTGCCTCCAATAGGAGCACGCAGTCTATCTATAATATTTCGAGTTTATGGTACTGATCGTGTATTGCGCGAATCGCGCAATTGTAAAAAGTGTCTGAAGTCGCTCGGTGATTACCGCTTACCGCCAAATTCGCGTCGCTCGTCGTCGGACGATTACGTGCGTGCTCGTTCTTTACCGCAACAGTGTTGTGTTTCGGAATGACGGAGGAGTAAACCCGTACGATACGTCTCGCCTTTCGCGCGTCCCGCAAAACATCTCGCGGATGTAAACAAACACCGCGAGCGTCTTAATCGGACGTCAGTCGTTCGTTCAGTCGGCTGAGTGTCGCGTTCATTGCCGGTAGTGTCGGCGCGCGAGTGTCTCACACCTTCGCGTTTTATACTTGTCAAAGGTGAGAAAATAATACACGTATATATTTATACGTATGTGTATAACGGG